AGCTGCTGTACTACCTAACTGCTGAGCAACTTGCCAGATTAAGAGCGAAGGAAGTTCCAGCTACTGTCACTTGGCACAAGGAGGAACTGAGGATTAATAGGATCAGCAGGGCCCTATATTGAGCACCGTGAGGGCACTGACCCTATGGAATAGCTGCTAGTCACTGTGTGTGTACACACACCTGACTGTTATGCACATAAACACTGAAGAAGAATTATATCTCTCCCCACCCCCAAAAAGAAAGGTCCTGAGATCTTGCATCTGCTTCTCCAGGTTATCACCGATTCAGACACAATACAGTAATCACCCCACCTACCACAGTGCTTCACAGGAGGCATTACTAAAGCTTGAAGGGCCATCCAAGTCCTAATGGAATTTCCTGTTACCAACTTGCTTCTCTAATACAGTGGTTCTCAACCTTTTTTATACCACAAACTGGCAAACCCATTCACAAACTTTTGGCAGACCAGCAACATTTTATTTGATTATCTGTATAGTCATTATGCAAATAATGCATATGCAAATAAAATGTTACCAGTCCACCAAAATATGTACCCCAGCCATGGCCCCGAGCTGCTACACAGCAGCTGGCTTTAGCTCTGGCAGCTACTGCGGCCCAGCAGCCAGCAGTTCAGAGCCCAGAAATGGTCCGCAGACTGGCAGTTGTGAACTGCTGCTCTAACAGATGACCTGGTTTCTTGGCTTTTTCAAAGTGCTTATGCTTTACTGCTTAAGCCACAGTAGCTGCATGTTTCAGGACTCAGACATGCCTAAGTACTTTCTTGAAATCTATTTTAGACTGCAACAAATTATGGAGGTTTAAAGTAAAAGTAAGTTTTTTTAATGGAGATACAGCAAGACGTAAAACAGAAACCTTAGTTAAAGCAGTTTAAAAAATTCTCACTGAAATAAGTGTAAAATAAGTGTAAAACTGCTAATTAAGTTTGTAGCTTTCGTATTCTCTCTCAAAAAGCAATATGCAACAGAATATTTAGTTACTTCTATCCATGGCTCAGGAAACAAAAGAAGTATACTGATGGAGTAAAAGTAAGACAGTCACAACTAGCTGGGAGAGGTTTATCTGAAAAAAAAAAATCATCTTTATGTGCCCTTTATTCGTAAACTGCTTTTTTGGTAGCATGGTCTGATGAAATTTCCCTTCACCCAATGTTACACAACTGCTAAGTAATTAGGAAAATCCAATCTGCTTTTTATGATGTTTACAAATAATACAGTAGTTGGAGGCTGACGTAAAGGAATATTATAAGTACATACCACCAGTAATTCTCTAATGTGCATATCTGAGATACATTTCATTACACACTGAAGCAGACTACTATGTTTGTCCGTCCACTCTTTGAAGTGTTACATTATCCTAGTGGAAACATATAAATGCCCTTCGTTAATAATTTGGGGAAGGGGAAATAGCATTATGAATACTCCAGAACACAACCCCTCATTGATATCATGGTATACTGTTATACAGGACATAATACAGAATGCGTATGCAAGTACTGACCAAAGTATCTCTTTTCTATAGCTAGCAAAAAATTAAAATTGCCAAGAATCTCAAACAGGATTTTCATCAATTTCAAACCATGCCTAAGGCAAAAGAAACTAAGCAGCAGCTGAATGCAAGAGCACAAGTTTGCATTCGTAAACTCAAAACAATCGAAAACCTTGGAAATGTCTAAGTCCTGTAACTCAGCTGAGCCTGACTATTACAACCCTAAGAACTTTTAAAAATGGTATGCACAAAGGAGTGGATAAAAAACTAGGCCACAAAAACTTCCGCATTATTTTCTAAAAGAATTGCTTGCTCCCTTTTTATGGAGATTTACCTCTTCGTGTTCATTGATGCTTTCATCATCCACTTATTAGTGACAGGATCAAACATTTCCATGCTGCCTAAATGCTCATTTCCATCATGCCCACCTACTGCATAGATTTTACCTGAAGAACAGAGAAGCATTTTTATTTAAATGATTGGTAGATGACACTGGTTCTAGACACACAAGATCATCCCAGGCAGTGGGAAATATACAGGCCCAAGCCTATTTTCCAGAATAGCAGCACACTTTTCAGTTGCAAAAAATAAGATTTGAAGGTCACAGACCTAAGAGATCTGTCTTAGCGGCAGTTTCTATAGGACATTTTAACATCTTGATATGAGGTCTTCCGTTTTCATATTGAAAATAACATGCGACAGCATGGCTGCTTTTTTCTTACAATCACAGAATCATAAGGCGGGAAGAGACCTCAGGATGTCATCAAGTCCAACTCTGCCCAAAGGAAGACCAGCTTTTGTTTTAGCCTCTAAACAAAATACCAAATTACTTTAAATAAAACAGTATATTTGGAGGCACAAAGGAACGTATGCTTTCTAGAAAACGGGTTCTGTTTCAGGAATATGAAGGAAGAGTAACTTAACAGTTGTGGGTTCTCAGCAGCTCTGGAAACTTGTTTTTATCTTGAGCACCCAAAAATTGAGTTATGAAAGCTACTGACAGTTTTAGAAAATTATGCAGTACATGAGTTGCCCAAATTCAAAGAAGTCAGTTCTAGAACTGAGGAAAAATGGCTTAATGTGCCCACACTATGCTTCTGAGAAAAAAGAAAAATTAAACCATGCACTACTATACATAGGCTACAGGCAGTGAGCAATAAACTCACTGAACTAATATGTTCTCATATCAGTGCTATAATAACACAGGTATGTTTTCAGATCTGAAAATTTACTCTGTAGTAAACTTAAACATGTCAAATAATGTAGTCATGATATGGGACAGGCTTTTCTTATTGTTTAGCAACAAGAAAACAATTAAGTAATTACAAAAATAAAGAATAGGTTAGTACAAAGTTTATATTGTTACTAACCTTCAACAGAGATTACACCCACATGTCTTCTCCTGCTGTTCATTTCAGGACCAAAGAACCAATTGTTTCTGTTTATAGAATAGCATTCAATACTGCGAAATGGATCACCTGATCCACCTCGACCACCAACACAAAATAGCACACCTGAAGGTGAAGATATAGAGAGAAAATAGAAAGTTTCAGAATGATTAGCCAACAAAAGTTGAGCAATATTTTTACTGAGAGTAGATTAGGATTATAAAATTAACTGAAGACAAAACACTTTTTTCTCCTCCCCCGTGGGTCACATTCAATACAGCTATACTTATGCATTTGTGGCAATGACTTCATCTTTATTTTGGCAAGAGCCATGGTATTTTAGCATGCAAAGTGTTTGTCAATGTTATTGCATAGGCTGCTAATCAGACTCAAACCCAATATTTTAGTCAAATTATTATTTCATTGTGGAGACAACCATTTTTCTTCGGTTACATCTATTTGGATTTTCTAGATTAGAATTTCCAGTCTAATCTGCATAACTCAGAACACTTTGTAAACGGCTGCTCACTGCTTTGGTGTCAATTTTTGTCCAAAGGAACAATAGAAATGTTTTTATTCCTCAAGAAGTAAGCTTTGTAGGGCTTGGATTTCTTTGATTTCCTGTATATTTCCTTGAACATTAATATGCTTTCTGTAAGCTTTGCCTTGTATATTTACATTTGATCTAGTTAAATTAATATTTTAAGCTAATTTAAGTAACATTCATATACTAAAAGCTATGCATTACACCAGAGACTTTCACATTTCTTCTTTAAACATTAATTAGGTTATAAACACTGTGGCGTAGTGGGAGTGCTGTCTGCTCTGTAACCTGGTGTCCCCCTGCACTGTGATGTGAGATTCTCACGGACTCTCTCAAATGTGTATTAACCCAGACACCTGGGCTCAGCCTCCCAGGGAGAGAGACAAAGGGAGGAAGATGGAGACCAACACCTGGCTGGGGGGGCAGGGCCTGGGAGGGAGGCAGTTGTTGTATGGGAAGCATGGAGAGAAGAGGCTAAGCTGGGGCCTAGGGGCGATGGACTCTAACCCTAGAGTCTGAGGGGCCCTGGCCCCTGTAGCCACATCACATATGTGCTGTGCTGTACCCTGAAGGAACAATAAACCCCTCTCTATTCTACGACTGGCAGAGTCTGTTCTTGCTGCTACGGGGCTGCAGGATTTGGGGTAACCCCAACACGCCATCGCAAACACTACCTATCCATACTACCTATCTCTAAACCAGGGTTGAGCAATAACTTTTGCTGGGGAGCCACTCCAAGATTTTGGTAAGTAATCAAAGGCCACATTTCTCTATGGAGATGGAATGTGGGTGCAGAAGAGAACTTGGGGTAGGGGACTGGTATGTAGAAGAGGGTGTGGGGTCTCAGAGGAAGTTTGGGTGAAGGAGGGGATTGTGATCTGAGGCAGAGGCTTTGAGTGCAGGGTCTGGGAGGGAGGGTATGGATGCAGGAAAGGATTCTGGCCTAACAGAGGGATGTAGGAGGTGGTGCAGGGTCTGGGAGGGAGTTGTGACCTGGAGGAGAGGGAAGGCAGGTGCAGTTTTTGGGTGGTGACCTGGAGCAGGAGGGGGTGGATACGGATTTGAGGTGTGAAGGGGAGGTGAAGTGCTAGGGGCAGGCTCTGTCTGGGAGCTGATTAGCTAGGCAGCTGTCAGCCGATGGCCAGGGCAAGCAGGCAGGCAGGCAGGC